ACGAAACATGGCATCCGCACCAAAGGTGTTTCATTCCTGCGTAGGCTACTCGAGCCTTGTGAATGCGGGCGGTTATTTCCTTGATTGTGCTACCGTCATTTGTCACGCAGCTACCTAAACAGGAGCAACATTCCACCATAGCTAACTCTTGACCATCAAGCATCAGCGCCAGGGTAGATAACGCCGAATCTTGCGGCATCACTTTGCACTTTGAAGGTGCAAAGCGCATACCGAATGAAGTTACATAACTTCAAATCTATCAAGAGCGCTTTGCGCATCCTCTACACATTCGAACACACCAGTTTTAGTTTAAACAACCATAAGGCATGCATTTCCGTGCGACGGTTGTGGTTGCTGTCTTTTGGCTGCCCATTTGGATGAACAGTTGGAGGAGAACAGGAAGGTCGAAATTAGAGTCGAACAGAAAATGGAGAATTTCACTTGTCTAAGGTTGCAAAAAATTGAGAAGATGCACAAACGTCACTGTTTACGACATCCAGCCATATCACTCAATGTCTCTAACCATCGGTTACTACACTGTTTGCGACACCCAGCCATATCACTCAGTGTAGCTAACCATCGGTGACCATCATCCACCCAGCCAGGGAGCCTAACAGGACCTATGTGACCCAGCTTCCTGGTTAGGGTTTTCATACACTCATGCTAGGTGTTAGCTGGGCTTTATTACACCAACGATGTCGTCAGCGTACTCGAAATCTCCCATTCAATACCACCGTTTTGGAGATCAGTAAGTGCGTTCTCTAGTATTTCGTCTGTGACGAAATTGAACAATAATGGCGAAATACATCACCCTTGACGAACACCGCTCCTGGTTTCGGACGGTTTGCTTAGTCCAACTTATACCCGAAATATGCAGATGCGGTGATCGCCATAGGTTTACGTACGTCTGCGTCATTCCTTTGTGAGGCAGTGAACCCGTTAGGGATTCTCGGTCAACTGAATCGAAGGCTCCGTTTAGGTCAAGAAGCACTGCGATTGTTGGCCGACGATGTGTGTGACGAATTTCGACAACTTTACTCAGAGTGGAGATTTGGTCGATGCAACTGCGACCTACTTGCTTTTCGCGGATATTCATTTCTCTTAAGGATGTCAGGCGGCAAAGTATCACAGAAGTTAGCACTTGTGATGATCAGAGCTGTTTTGCGCAGTTGTTTCGTGATCCCTTCTTAAAGATCAGAACGATGTGGTTGTGTGTAAGTATTGTTCGCGAGGTTAACTGTTTCTCTGGAAGCAATCTGCGGACTCGTTTAAAATGTCTCGCAGTTACTGCAGACCGCATCCGTAGCTGGGAATTTGAAATGTGCATGTTTGTCGTTTCTGAAAAAGTAAAATTTGGCAATAACTACGACTGACACAAGAGTTGTTGCTTTCTATGCAATCAAAAAGTGCTTTTCCGTCGGTTCGAGCGGTAAGGTCTTATAACTAACCGCCTGGCGGGGGCGGGGTCTTGAGTTCGAAACCCACCCGTCCAACTTCCCTAGACAGTCTTAGTATAGCCGTGGCCCCGTTCCCGAAAGTTTATCGCGCATTTCTATAGTAAAAAGTAAAATGGAAGTAAAAGCATTTTTATCACTATTAACATGAGGCCGTAACTTTATACGGCATTGTATTATCCGGATATTACATTTAATATTTTCAAATTTTTCATGAGAGAGCTTGTGAAACTGTTCTCGAAGATCTGGGAAACTGAAAATGTACCGCACACATTGGGAGAATCAATTGTTACACCCATCTGCAAGAAGGGCTTTCGCAACGCCTGTGTCAACCACAGGGGCAAAAGCCTGATACTAATATCGCCGAAGCTGCTGGTGTTGTGATATCCTATGGTTCAGCACCACCCGCAGCACGCTCACACAGGTCGGAAACACTCGGAGAACAACAGGATGGAACAATTAGAACCCAGGATTTATTTCCGCACAGGTTTTACAGCGGCTCAACGCAATCGCGGGGTTGCAATGCGAAAACCAATATAAAAATCGATAAAATCAATAGCTTGTCATTTTAACAACAATATCAATTCTCGTCCTGGTTTCGGTCTGTTTCGTTCGGGTCTTCTTTCGGTTGTTCATGCCAAACCGGTGCTGAGATACCTGGAAGGTAACCGAGAGGGGGGTTACAGTTAGGGGCGGTCAGTTCGTTCTGCCTTGGTACGCTACAGTGTCCGTCTTATTGCGCAGATTAAGCCCGTTTCGTGGAAAACAAATTCGGGTTTCATGCCCACCGTGTTTGCATCGATTAAATCTTCACCCTCCGTCAGCTACTAGAACATCGGCAAACTATTGTCGTGTTTTTGGACATCAGAGTGGCCTTCAACTCTATCGATCGCCCCGCTCTGTGGAACTGTTTGCGGAGATAAGGAGTACACGAGAAGTATGTTTTACTCCTAAAAGTGCTCTATCAGTTCAGTTTCAGTTTGAACAACCATTAACCACGCATGTTTGAGCGCCGGTTTTGGTTGCTGTCTTTTGGCTGCCCATTTGGATGAAGAATAGGAGAAGAAAGGAAAGTTAAAAGTGGAGTCGAAAAGAAAATGGAGAAGTTCAGTGGTCTAAGGTTGCAAAGAAATTAAGGAGATGAACGAACGCCACTGTTTACGACACCCAGCCATATCGCTCAGTGTCCCTAACTATCGGTTACGATCATCCCGAGGTCCTCAGCCAGGGAGCCTAACAGGACCTATGTGACCCAGCTTCCTGGTTAGGGTTTTCATGCCCTCATGCCAGGTCTTAACTTGACCACCCTTGGCTTTTTTCCACTCGGTATCTGCTTCGGCGAACATCGCTCGCCGTGGTAACCTACCTGGTGACATGCGTAACACATGTCCCAGCCAATGTAATCTATGGAGGTCGACCACTTGCTGCAGTGGGCGACTGTATTTACCCAAAACTCTGCCCCTAACCTCAGCATTGCTCATCCGGCTACCCCACCAGATTCGTGCAATGCTGCGTGGACAACGGTGTTCAAACACCGACAGTCTGTCTTTATCTTGTTTTCTTAATGGCCAAGTTTGTGCACCGTATAGCGTTCTATCACCAGACCTCGATGAAGGTTAAGGCCTATGGTGAACTCTCACCCTCACTTCCTGTCACCAGTGGGATGCGACAGGGTTACCCTATCTCTCTGTTTCTCTGCAAATCTGCCATAAATGTTCTACAAAATGCTAACGTTGAGCTTTTTTCTGAAGACAGAATCGTAGGCTTGGAGTATGCCGATGATATTCCCTTACTGGGTGACAGCGCACCAACGATTCAAGAGCCGTTGAATCGTTTGGCAATTGAGTTTACTCGTAATAGTATATGCTTTGCATCTTCAAAGTGCAAAGCGTTGTTGCAAGATTGTCAGGATCCCTTTCCTGCACTTTCGTTGGGTAATAACACCCTGAAAGTAGTCAAAAGCTTTGTCTGCCTCGGAAGTTGCATAACGGCTGATGGAGGTGTGGGCGAGGAGATTTAGATTAGCGTTTGCTAATCTGCGGCATATCCCTTTCACTGAAAGGGCGTTTGTATTGCGCATACGGTGCATACCGTGTTGCTCTATGGCTGCGAAACCTAGCCTCTACGAGCAGATCACGTCCAACGACTATCCGTCTTCGACAACCGTTGTCTGCGCAAAATCGCCTCAAGGGTTCAGATTGTCTTTGGCTGGAGACACTGCGGGATATGGCATCAAACCGAAGTCGATGGCCTGAACGCACTCTTTCCTGTATGCAGTCCCAAAAATAAACAAAAACGAAAAAAATTTGTTATTCCTCCAAGTGGATTGCTTTGTTTTTTCCGCTTCGGTACCTATATTTTTTGTTAATCCATGGTTATTTCGGCGCCGCATCAGTAAAAATTGGTGTTATATATATAATTTCACACATCTGAGTTCAGACTGGGTGCCAAACAAATCGTGGTACAATAATCTTCATAGAAAGAAAAACGTTCCACGATTTGCATGTGGGCCGAATACTACCAGGTTGCCCAGGCCAAGGCAGGTGGATTTTCTTGAGGAATCCACAACCGGAGCCTTCGGTTAACCAAAGCCTGACTCGCAAGGCGGCGGGACGGTGTGCGAAAACCACAGTGCATTGAGGGCCGGTGTCCAGTTCATCGGATTATATGCGCTTCGGACGGGGTCAACCGTCCAAGGTGCCCGATCGAGCCGTTGACTACTACCATAACAAGGAAGTTGTATGTGGTTCATAAGCCTCTTCATGGTTGGTTTGGAATCAGGGTTTTGGGCCAACTCCCCTAGGTGAACTACCAGTGGTCCACCAACGTTGTTATAGCCCCAGATATCGGCTTTTCGTCTTCTCAGTTTGGTGGGAAAGCATCCACCACGAGAAATCAGTGAGTAGGGCTTCCTCAGCGGAGGCTATTTGAGATGCTTGGTCGTATGGGAGCGTTTCGTGAGACGCAAGGGCAGGGTGACCAGCCGCAATCCTAGACACCCACCCCCGACTATACTGAGGCTTTTGGAGACATTTATATAATATTTCACACCTGTCTGTATGCCAAATGTCGTGTGAACACACTTCGGGCTCGCAGCGCAGCGGAGTAAACAGAGCTTCATGACAGGATGTCTCCCGGCTCTTGTTCTCGCACCTCAAGACGATACGAGACTTTGCGGATGATGGACGATGGTGGGGGAACGTCAGTAGGGCGGCGATATGACCGGGATGTCGGGTAGCGAAGAAACACTGGCAGACAGCTCCTCCGTGATTCTGGGTTTGATATAAGGCTGCAAGGCAAAGCAAATAAACCACCATGACCCAAAAAAGTGTAATGAGATGCAAAACCTCACGGTAAAGTATTACTGGCGCGGTTGCCACACAAACAAATAACAAAGTCCATGAGCCGCTCGTGTACGGGATACTGCTGGGTTGTCTAAGTCGAAGCAGGGAATTCACAATCGCAGCCTTCAACTAGCCATACCCAACTCACAAGACAATGTTTGAAAGCCGCAATCCATGGAGGGCCTTTGTTTGAGACACCTCGATGCCTAATCAAGCCGCTAATTATACTGGGACTCAACAATGACGTGCAATCGATTCGCTGTTGGCGCGTAGTACATGAACACTAGCATTGATCACACTATTTGGCCATCTATTCATTTCGAAAAGTTTTCTCGCATTTCATTAAATGACTAAAAGCCTTATCGTCTGGTATTGTTTATCATCCGACCACACTTTTCTTTTCCCCAGAAATTAGTGATGATCTTTTTACCCACGTTTCCTTGATCAGGTTGTGTTGCATGAGGATAAAAAGTACTACCCCAGCGCTCTTGAGGTTTATGGTCCAGAGGTTGAGACATTGGTGCAAGAAGAAGATGCTCAACCGCTGACGCAACCGCTGATTGAACCGATTCGCCACAAGAAATTCGCTTACACGGAAGCTAACATCCCAGCGACTACCTACGATCCAGAATTTTTAGCGGACTTGATGGACTGTCCAGAGTTGATTCGTAATGTTGTACTTTGCGGCCATCTTCACCACGGAAAGGTAATCTGCTCTTATTCGGCTCATTCTTCTGCCTTTCTAGACTTCGTTCATGGATTGCCTCATTGAACAAACACATCCAGATATCTGTGCACGGGACGATAAAGATGTGAGAATGATTATTCTTTGTTTTTTTTTGTACATTTGTCACTTGATGCTATGTATTTTCTTTTTGATACTCACGTGATTTTCTTAAAATCAGGCCCCACTTCTTCAGTGGACCCAGTTTATTGTTCTGCTGTGTTTTCGAATGATGCCGGTTAAATTAATGCGGCAGAATACAACTGGCAGATTTTGACGTGAGTTTTACTCATCACTTCACTGTTTTTTCCTGTAGGATGATGATGATGATGATGATACGTGACATCCATGAATCTTGCGCATCCTCGAGCAAAAGATAGCTTTATAAAAGGAGACGGTATCTTGTTGGTTCCACATGTGGTCCGTCTCCCCAAGTCCCAGGATTCATAAAGCCAATTTCTATAGCTGAACAGGGGATACGCGTGATAGTAGTGTTCACTTTTTCCGCTGTTCACTGTATATAGGTGTGTAACTAAAAGAGAGTGCCTCATTCATCTTGGTCAATTGCACTCCTTGAAACACGATGTAATAATTCACAATAGTTGTTTCTACCGTTTGGTCCGACTTCGTTGCTTGGAATATCTTGTCCGTTTAATCCTCCATTTTCACGTTTGACGTTAGTTTAAAGTCTTTTTGCGATTCCATGCTCTCACCCACATGGATTTGTTTATGTGTGTTCGGGCATAGTGAAAGATGGTACTATTTTCCCCCACAGTTGTGGTTTTGCTTTTTGCGCAAGTCAGACAATATTTTAGGTCATAATGTTTTCTCCAAATATAACATGTTCTCATCAGTACCATTCTTTTCTCACTAACCCCCTGCTAGCTAAGGTACACAGATTTTCTGCTCATGGAAGTGGAGCGTGGTCTTAGCATCAAATCGACACCAGTCACGTTGGTGCTGCAAAATATGCGCGAAAAGGCATATCTGTTCAATGTCTTCGATACTCCAGGTGAGTGCCACTCGAATCGTTTGTGTATTCTGCAAATAATTATTGTAGACAATACCAAATTCTTCTCTCCAGTAATTTGTCTGTCGCGTCACGCTATTTGGAGTGCAAGTTGAGTTCCACTGTTCCAAAGTTAGTTTTTCCGCAATCTTATCTCTCAAATAAATAAGCAATGCATTTTAAAGGTGCGTCATGACGCACCCTGAGTTTCAGTGACTCTTAATCCGATCCCACGTCACTACGAAGGACTAGAAATAATGGGCGAGAAGTCAACTATCCTCGCCATTGCTTTGCATAGAACGACCATGCACAGAAAAGTACATTTTTGATTATATTTACGATTTTATTATCATGATAGGTTTTTCGCTACTGAAGAGAATACTCCCAAAGAAAGACACTTGTCCAACAGTTGTTTGCCAAAAAGTGAGCTGCGCTCATTTAGTATTAGCTATCGATGCTCGCCAACAGTACTCTGAAAAGTAAACAACTTATTTCTCACCGTTGATTGATGGCCAAGTAAATGCAATTCAGATACTTCTATTTATTTGAGCAGTCGCAGATTAAATTGTTGGACAGTAAATCTCCGTGTGACGTACAAACCTTGAAAGCACCAAATAATTGTTACCTTCTCAGTAGAGACCATCCGTAATACGTATCCACTGGCATCGGGACGGTTTTTACCGGAATATGTGAGTTGTGAGTTTCCTAAGTTATCAGTAGGCTAATCAGACTGAATCCAATTGTTTTTACGTAAATGCCGCAGAATTTAACGTCCATCTCTCACTTCCATGGCGCGTTCATCGTCGGAACGTTTCACAAAGTGCAAGGGAAGGATAATCAGTCACATCCACCCACTCTCTCTGAGGATTAATGTTACTTCAGACGGAATGCTGGAGGCGGTTTTAATACAACGAATATCTCAAACAGCATGAACCGAGCAGGCCAAGCACCTATGTCAAATGCAGTCTGGCCTACCTCAGCACCTGATTTGAGGATCGTAGGATTGTTCCGTCATGTTTGTACAGTGTAACGATAATTTAACGGAAAACAACGACTTGGTCGAATAAATATACCATCACTTCAAAATTTAATATAGTGCCCAGATAAAATGAAACATCTATATTGTGCAACACTTTCTCACATGTATCTCTGATTCTGGTCCTAAATTACTGTTTTTTCATCCTCTTTAGGACATGTGAACTTTTCTGACGAAGTCACAGCTGCTTTCCGAGTTGCGGATGGTATATGTCTCGTGGTCGATGCCAGTGAAGGAGTACTGCTAAACACGGAACGCCTGTTGAAACACGCCTTACAAGAACGACTCCCGGTCACATTGTGTATCAACAAGATTGATCGCCTAATCCTCGAGCTCAAATTACCACCCACAGATGCGTACTATAAGATCAAACACATTGTCGATGAGGTGAATTCTATCCTGCTAACCTTCTCAGAAACCACAGGTTAGCGTTAGTTTACTGTTTGTTCCTGCTTTGTGTATTTTTCCCTTGGAGGGAGCGGAAATTTATTCCCTGTTTGTCCGCTAGACAACATGGTACTTGAGTATGATCTGGTTAAGAACTTTTAGGTCAGGTTTTAACTGCCTGTCATTGCTTGTCTACGGTAGTATGTTATTCCGTATCATAAATCATGAACACCATTTGGGCCTTACCACAAGCCGACAGACAGATCGGATGGATCAGCCGCACGAGCAATGTTGAGGTTAGGTACACAGTTTTAAGTAACTGCGATCGCCCACTGGAGCAAGTGTTCGACCTCCATTGATTACGTTGGTTATGGCACGTCCACCCAAAACCGCCGCACGAAAGTGCATAGATAGTGGTTGTTTAAACTAAAAGTGAAAAATCCGTCTTTAGATGCAAGAATATTTGGTAATCTCATTGCTTGATTTCCTCGATTCCCACATTCTGATAGTACATCGGACAAACTTCACTTGTATCAGCACCATGTAAACTTAAAAGAACTCATGGATGCCAAACGACGGAAAATAGATTTCTATCTGACCTTTATAATAAATCGAATAGACTCCGTACTTGTTTTGGCTATGTTGAAATATTCCGAACCAATATTACAGAGACTATGGATCACTGTTTATGTACAGAGGGAAGGTTTTTGGCTAGCAGTTTAGATGGGAACTGTGGACGAACGCTGGAATACGACTTAATTCGGAACCAAAATGATGCTGTCTACGAGGACTGCTATTTATCTTTTATTTCAATTAGCTTTGTTTGCACGTGTACAATTACGGTCACTGAAATCTCATCCTATATCCTGGTTTGCTTTTTTCTTCAGGAAGCGCAAATGACTCGCAGCCAGTTGTCAGTCCCCTCTTAGGGAATGTTTGTTTCGCCAGTACCTACTATCGCTTCTGTTTTACACTGGAATCTTTCGCGAAAATCTACACGGATACATTTTCACACACGGTCGATCATGTGGAATTCGCTAAACGTCTGTGGGGTGACATTTATTTC